CCCTTTCCCCCCCCCCCTCCCTCTCTCTTCCCTTTTTTTTCTCCGGGGGCCGCTTCAAGACCCCCAAAGGGAAACCCGGGGCCCCCCTCGGAATTGGCTCCGGGCTGCGCCCCCGGGGCCCGGCAACGGGGGGCGGGCGGGGGGGGCTCCCCCGCCCGGACGGGGGCCTTCAACACTGCCAGGTAAGAGCCTGTCCTGGAACCCGGGGTCGGGGATCCGCGGAAGGGCGGCAAGGGGCCCGCAGTCTGCGGGTGTCTTCAGAGCCAGCCTCCGCGGCTGAGAGCCTGCTGCCGGCTCCCTTCTCCCGCGCTCTACCTCTCTCTTCTTCCCTCGCACCTCCCGCCCTCTTTTTCCCCTTTTCCTCTCCCTCGATGCCTCTTCTCTCTGCCAGTTTGCCATCTCTGCCCCTTCCCTGTCTCCCCAACCCTTCTCTCTCCCTCTTGACCTGTCTTTCCCCATCTCCACTTCCTCTTTGCCTTTTTCTTCCTCTACCTTCGTCTCTCCTTTCCTGTCTCTCTCCTCTCTTTTCCCGCTCTCCTTTCCTTCCCCTATTCCTTCCCGCTCCTCTCCCCTTCCCACTATCCTGTTTTCCACTCTATTCCTTCCTTCCCTCCTCGTCCCGCCTCCCTCTCTGGTCCCCGGCTTCCCTCCTGGCTTTCCTCTTCCCTCGGGAGGGGAAGGATTATCAGGTGTGTGTCTGCTCCCGGGGAGGATGGAGGCAGCCACCGCTACCTGCGGGTCCCCCCCACCCCTAGGACAGAGGGAGGAGATGGCCGTGGGAGGGGTCCTCACTCTAGCTCCCACCCGAAGCCCCTCCTAGCCACCCCCTCTCCCAGAAGGAAGTTCAGGCGGCCTGGTCTGACCCCTGCAGCTGAGGCTGGCCTGCCTGCCCCTCACACACGCCAAGCCCCTCTGCCCCTTCCCTTCCATTCCCCAGACCAGTACCTATGACTCTTGTCTGCCTTTCAGACACCAGGCAGCCTCCTTTGATCTCTCCTTCAGTCTCACTGCCATTCTGTCTCTGTCTCTGCTGGACAGTCCAGCCTTGGTCTCACCCCCATCACGCTGTGTCTCTTCCTCCTCCCTAGTCTACTGGCTCTGCCCCCAACTCTACCCCCGCTTCCCTCAGCTCTGGCCCCCCACTCTGCCTCATGAGCCCAGGTCCCTTTCAAGGACTTCAGCTGGCAGTGTGGGCCGGGGGCAGGTTCCTGCGGGGGGAGGGACTTGCAAGGGCTCTCAAGCCTGTTTCAGGCTGCACTCCTTGTGATTTCAACCTGACCCTACACAACTCCACGCATCCCAACCCCCGGGTTGTCAGCCTTTCCCGGGTGGCACCCATCTCCTCCAGCCCCTGCTGCATGTGCAACATGGGCTTTCATGCCCTCCCAGCACCCCCTCGCCTGTTTCCTTCCCCAGCTTCTCTATTCAGAATTGACTGGCTGGAGATTTATCAGCTTGGAGGGCTGGAGGTGAATACAGGCAGAGCCGGGCGGAGGGGAGGACCAGACTGTCTGCTCTCTGTCTTCGTCTGGGTTCTGGGCAGGGGGAGTCTGGTTCCGTAGAGCGTCTACCTCTGGTTTAGGGAGGGTTAAGTGTTTCCTTGACCCTGAACGGCTACCTGTCCTGCAGGTGTGGATCCATGGGATAGCCCCAGCATGTGCCCCTCTGCCCCAGTCAGCTCATGCCTCAGCACCTGGGGACAGTGAACAGAGCCCTGGCTAGAGCCCAAACATGTGGGGCCTGGTGAGGCTCCTGCTGGCCTGGCTGGGTGGTTGGGGCTGCATGGGGCGCCTGGCAGCCCCCGCCCGGGCCTGGGAAGGGGCCCGGAGGGGCCCAGGACCAGCACTGCTGCGGACCCGAAGGAGCTGGGTGTGGAACCAGTTCTTTGTCATCGAGGAATATGCCGGTCCAGAGCCCGTCCTCATTGGCAAGGTAAGGATCAAGCTCTCCTGTGGCTACCTTGACTCTCAAGCCCTGCCCTGTCACTTCATCATTTCTGCAATGACCTTGGTCCCTCAGGACTCCTAACACTCCACTCAGTCCTAGACTTAGACTCTTTAACCTGCTGTTCCTGTGTGTGGAACCTGCTGCCATTTTCCTCCGACCCTCACAGCTGCACTCGGATGTGGATCGGGGTGAGGGCCGCACCAAGTACCTGCTGACCGGGGAGGGGGCAGGCACCGTGTTTGTGATTGACGAGGCCACAGGCAATATCCACGTCACCAAGAGCCTGGACCGGGAGGAGAAGGCGCAGTATGTGCTGCTGGCCCAAGCCGTGGACCGAGCCTCCAACCGTCCCCTGGAGCCCCCATCAGAGTTCATCATCAAGGTGCAAGACATCAACGACAATCCCCCCATCTTCCCCCTCGGGCCCTACCACGCCACAGTTCCCGAGATGTCCAACGTCGGTGAGTACCCCGAGTCTAAACACGCAGATCCCACCTCCTCTTCTCTCCTTCCCCTTGCTTTCTGCCCCCAAACCGAATCCTTCGATTCAGGCCTGCTCATGTCTGGGTTCCCCTCATCTACTATTCTCCCCCTCCTGGCCCTGCCCCTGCTGAGTGGGGTGCCGGGATCCCCCACAGGGACATCAGTCATCCAGGTGACTGCTCACGACGCCGATGACCCCAGCTATGGGAACAGCGCCAAGCTGGTGTACACTGTGCTGGATGGACTGCCTTTCTTCTCCGTGGACCCCCAGACTGGTGAGGACAGGGGTGGGGAGTGGTGGGGCAGCCATGGGAGAGGCACCCCTTGACCCAGTGTCTCTCCCTAGGAGTCGTGCGTACCGCCATCCCCAACATGGACCGAGAGACACAGGAGGAGTTCTTGGTGGTGATTCAGGCCAAGGACATGGGCGGCCACATGGGGGGGCTGTCGGGCAGTACTACGGTGACGGTCACCCTCAGCGATGTCAACGACAATCCCCCCAAGTTCCCTCAGAGTAAGGGGCCGGTGCTGCCACCTGAGCCATCCTTGACCACCCACCCCACTCCTCCCCCAGCCAGGCTCCGGAAGAAGGAAGTGCTGGGGGAGGGAGGAGGGTTGGGGACCTCTCTGAGAATGTCTCCCCTCCATCCACCCCCAAGGCCTGTACCAGTTCTCGGTGGTGGAGACAGCTGGGCCAGGCACCCTGGTGGGCCGGCTTCGGGCCCAGGACCCAGACCTGGGGGACAACGCCCTCATGGCATACAGCATCCTAGATGGGGAGGGGTCCGAGGCCTTCAGCATCAGCACAGACGCCCAAGGTCGAGATGGGCTCCTCACTGTCCGAAAGGTTAGCCTCTTGTCCGCTAACACTTGCGAGACTCACTCATACCCACCTCCTGCCCCCGGGACACACTTCTCGCTGGGCTAGAACAGACCCTGGAAGCTATGTTAGAGCTCAGAAATCATAGCCATCCCCTCATCTTGAGCCTGGGGCTCAAGACTTCATATATCAGAGTCTGTGATAGAGCTGGGGGTAGACCTAGAGTTACTCACGAAATCGTCTGCCCCCACCCTAGACCACCAAGGCCACTGGCCCTCTCTGAGGTGGGCTGAGCACTGGGTGCTTCTGGGGAAAGGACTCCTCACCCTCCGGGAGCCTGGGCCTGCCCTGGTTTCTACATGTCTCAGTCACTCCACCTCCCCTGCCGTAGTCCCTAGACTTTGAGACCCGTCACTCCTACTCCTTCCGTGTGGAGGCCACCAACACGCTCATTGACCCAGCCTACCTGCGGCGAGGGCCCTTCAAGGATGTGGCCTCAGTGCGGATAGCGGTGCAGGACGCCCCAGAGCCGCCCGCCTTCACCCAGGCAGCCTACCACCTGGTGGTGCCCGAGAACAAGGCTCCTGGGACCCTGGTGGGCCAGGTCTCAGCCACTGACCTGGACTCCCCCGCCAGCCTGATCAGGTGAGTGGAGGGTGTCAGGGCAGGGCCAGGCCTGGGGGAAGGTGCCCAGGGGCGGTCTAGTCCCTTGGAGGATGTGTCTCACTTGCCTCCTGGTAGAGGTCCCCCTCCCTGGGGGCCTGGGGCCAGGGGAGGGCCGGAGGACCTGGCTCAACACTCCCGACTCTCCACTCATCCCTCTGGGCGGATGAGAGAGGTGCCTCCTAGTGGCAGTGCAAGCAGATGTGATGTCATCGGCCAAGTGTGCTTGATCCTGGTCTCTCCCTCAGCCTGTCGCACTGACATTTAATTCTCACAACTGCCCTATGAAGGAGCGTCTCCGTCACCAGTCTTGCGAGGCCAGGCCCTGTGAGGGTTAGTAACTTGCCCAAGGTCACCTGGTCAGTGAGTGGCAGAGCTGGGCATCAAACCTGGGCTGTGCCCGGAGAAGAACCCCTCTTCCCACCTCCCAGCACTGAGGGAGGAGCTGGTCTCATTCCCATTTTGCAGTTGAGGAGACAGAGGTTAAACCATTTGCCCAAGGTCCCACAGTGGGTCTGGGGCAGAGCAGAGCTAGAACACAGATCCCGGGGTCCCCAAAACAGAGCCCAGAGTCTGAAAGACAGGCAGTGTCTCCCCACTTCTACCTCTTCTGTCTCTCTCCCCGACCCCTAGGAAACCCAGTCCCCCTGAGTTTCATGACAGGTATTTAATGTTGATGACTTCCCAGGGACATTGTCTTTTAAGGGGACCCACTGTGAGTTACGGTTGTGGGTGCATGGGGCAGGAGGCCCAGTAAGGGGGACAGAAGGAGGGGGGGAGAGCAGCAAGCTGTGGCCCTGCCCCCAGATCAGCCCCAGTTCTACTCTGTCTTCACCAGATACTCCATCCTCCCCCACTCGGATGTGGAGCGCTGCTTCTCCATCGAGCCTGAGGACGGCACCATCCGCACAGCTGTGCCCCTGGACCGCGAGGCTCGAGTCTGGCACAACCTCACAGTGCTGGCCACAGAGCTTGGTGAGGAGTCCTGGGCCCCCGGGAGGCCTGGAGAAGGCAGCAGCCTCCTGGCAGAGGGACTGTCCCTGAGCGTGGGCGCAGGGGGGAGGAAGGGTACTGCATCGGCCCCTCCCCCGTGTACTGGGTCCCCAGTCTGGATCACCACCATCAGGCAGGCCTGCTCTCCTAGGCTGGTGGGTCTGCTAGAGCATTCTCCTGACCTTAAATTCACTCCCATACCTGACTTTTCTCATCTCCAAAGTAAGTGTAACCTCAAATAGCTCCCAACCCCTAAGAATCCCAGCCTGCACCCTGGTAGACCCGCCCTGTGTACTCTCTGCTTCAGGCTGAAGCCAAGAGCCGGGGAAGGGCTGGGACCTGCTCTGGGGGCTGGTTGGGGGGCCCTAGTGGTCACTCCCAGGGAAGCCCTGCGGGGAATCCTCAAGGTAGGGGAGAAGGCTGGCCCCTCTCCTGCCCCTGTCAGTTGCCAGTCACCAGCAGCGTGGTTCAGCGGCCTCTCTCCGGGCAGCTCTGGCCCATGGAGGCAGGGAGCCCCCTCCCCTCTGTCAGTCTCTCCTTATCACCCCTGCTCAGGCCCAGGGTGCACTGCATTTGCTGTGTCCCGTCCATGGGAGTTGTCACTGTGGTGTGTAGATGTTTGCATGTCAGTCAAGAGCTAATGTATGTGTCTGCGTGTTGTCCACTTACGTGTGAGTATAATTCCATGTGTATGAAAAGGACATATGCTCACATATATATTTATGAGTACATGTCTATATATATGTATATGTAGTTGAGTGTGTAGAATTACATTTACGTTATGTATGCATATGTGTAATTGAATGTGTATAATGATAGGTACACGTAGCTGGTTGTGTCTGTTGTTTTATATATGTGAGTGTTTATGGACAGATAATAATAACTTATTACTTATTGTATATCAGGCACTGGTCTTAGTACCAAATGTAGATTTATTCATTTAATCATCACCACAAATTTGTGAGGGAGGTATGATTATTTCCCCATTTTACAATGAGAAAACTCAAGCAAAGGCAAGTTAAAGAGCTTTCCAAGGTCACACAGAGATGAAGTGATGGAACAGGCAGACCCAGTCAGGCTACAGTCTGAGCTATGTCCTCTCACCACACCGCTGTCACACGTGTTAAATCGTACCTGTATAGGTATGTCCGTGCAGCTGCGTGTCACGTGGCAGTGCATGCCTGTCTGTCCCCGAGTGTTCCTGAGTGTATATAGTGTGTCATGGCTGCCTGTGTACACATAGCCAGCCGTGTGTGTGTGTGTGTGTGTGTGTGTGTGTGTGTGTGTGTTTCCCCTCACTGTCTTTTCACCCTTCTGCCAAGTCCTGCTCCCCGCTGGAACCCCAGTATCAACCAGCAGATCCTGGGCCCTTAGTGCAGTGAAGGAATGGATCCCAGCCCCATCCTGTCTCTGGTGTATCCCCAACCTTTAGCCAGGCAGCCCACTCAGCCTCCTTTGCCAGGCTGCGACCTTCAGCTCTCTCCGTGTGGGGGGTGAGGGCGATATTAAAGGGATCAGCCTAGGAGGGGTGAGCACTAGGGTGAGCAGGGATGCACCTATTTCCGTTCTCTCTTGGGGCCACTGGCAGGGAGGAGCGAGGCAGGGTAGTGGTGGGAGCCACCTGATGAAGGGACGGGAGAAGAGGGGCCTGCATCTGCCTGTGGTGCCCAGGCTCTGTACCCTGTGCAGCATGCAGCGCCTCCCTCCCCAAGGTCAATTCTAAGTGATACTCATTGCTGCACCACAGCCTTCCTCTGATGGGGCGTGGTGTGTGTGTGTGTGTGTGTGTGTGTGTGTGTGTGTGTGTGTGTCCTCCCACCGATGCCGGGCATGAAAATGCATTATCTGGACCCTGGGGGTTGGGGGATACTGTACCCACTGTGTACACTGAACATCCACTTCATGTATGTTGCATTTATTTTCAATGCTGAGTGTCCTAATATATGGTGTGCCTGTGCTTGTGTATTTCATGGCTATTGTCTAAATGCAACCTGTATGCACCTTCTGTCTACCCTTCATTTATGGTGTATGTGCCCTACATGTGGGTTATTGTTTATGTAAATCATGGGTGCTACCTTCCTGTCAATGTATATTGTGTATTGCACATGTCTTGGGCACTACATGACTGTTGTATGCACTTGGTCTTGTTCCATTCATTGCAAAATGTTTGCTACTTGCAAATTGCATGCATATGTGTTGCATGTGCATGCTCTGTGCTGCATGTGACATCCATGCCCATGCACCATGTATGTTGTGTCTGCGTGTGTGGGGTGTATGTGTTCGTGTTCTGGCTTCAGACAGCTCCGCACAGGCCTCCCGTGTGCAAGTGGCCATCCAGACCTTGGATGAGAATGACAATGCTCCCCAGCTGGCTGAGCCCTACGACACCTTCGTGTGTGATTCTGCAGCCCCTGGCCAGGTGAGCCGCTGAGACAGAGGGGTTGGGACCGCAAGACCTCTGGCTGCCCACTCCATACAGGCCTGTTTTCTTCCTCCCAGCTGATTCAGGTCATCCGGGCTTTGGACAGAGACGAAGCTGGCAACAGTAGCCGTGTCTCCCTTCAAGGTCCTCTGGGCCCTGATGCCAACTTCACTGTCCGGGACAACCGAGGTAGGTGGCCTGTCTGTGCTTGCCTCCCTGCTCCTCTCTATCTCCAGCCTCCCTGACCCCTGCCCGCCTGTCTGGTCTCTCCTCCTACCAGAAAGGAGATGTGGATTTGCTCTGTTTGCTGACTGTAAACCTTCCCCATGGGAAGCTGTCTCCATGGGCCAGCCTGACCCTACTCGGAAGGTATCCCAGGAGATGTCGTAACACCTCCTCTCTCCCACAGATGGCTCTGCCAGCCTGCTGCTGCCCTCTCGTCCTGCTCCGCCCCGCCAGGCCCCCTACCTCGTTCCCATAGAACTGTGGGACTGGGGGACCCCAGCACTGAGCAGCACTGCCACAGTGACCGTCAGCATGTGCCGCTGCCGGCCCGACGGCTCCGTGGCATCGTGCCGGCCCGAGGCTCAGCTCTCCCCCGCTGGGCTCAGCACCGGGGCCCTGCTCGCCATCGTCACCTGTGTGGGCACCCTGCTTGGTGAGTCGGGCCACAGTGGGACACAGATGTGGGGTCCAGGTCCTTGGGGATGTGGAGAGGCATCAGGACCCTGGACTTGGGGAAATCCACCCTCGGGCTGACAGGGACCCTCGTGCCTGGTTGTCACACTGCCTGATGCATCCAAGAGAAAAGCTCTGGCCTCACATGCCTGACCTGCTGGTCTGCAGTGGCAGTGACAGCCATAAAAACTGTTTATCGAGCCCCAACTCTGGGCCACAGGTGGCACCAGGCACATCACTTCATGGTATTGCATTTCATCCTTTTGACAACCCTGCGAGGAAAATGCTTTCCCTGTTTTCCATACGAGCAATCGATCTAAGGGTCAAAGAGGTTTGGACAAGTTAGGCAACTCCCCATGCTCACACAACAGGTAAGGGCTGAAGTCTGGACTCACACAAAGGTCACTAGACGTCAGACCTAGGGCTTGCCACCCCCAGGCCACACTGTCACCCACCCCCTGCCGCCCGCGCAGGCTCAGCGCCCCCGTCCTCTCCCCCAGCCCTGGTGGTGCTCTTCGCCGCCCTGCGGCGCCAAAAGCAGGAAGCACTGATGGTGCTGGAGGAGGAGGACGTCAGGGAAAACATCATCACCTACGACGATGAGGGCGGCGGGGAAGAGGACACGGAGGCCTTCGACATCAGCGCCCTGCAGAACCCCGACGGGGCCCTGCGGGCCCCCGGCCTCCCGCGCGCCGGGACGTGCTCCCCCGGGTTCGGCGCAGCGCCAGCCCCGGCCCGGCCCGCCCGACGATGTGGCCGAGCTCCTGCGCTGCGGTCCGGAGGCGACGAGTACCCCAGCGTGCGCCCTACGACTCGGTGCAGTGTACGGCTACGAGGCCGCGATCGTCCTGTGCTCCTCAGCTCCCTCGGCTCCGAGGCCGGCGCGCGCCTGGCCCGCGGAGCCCGCTGGATGACTGGGGGCCGCTCTTCCGCACCCTGGCCGAGCTGTACGGGGCCAAGGAGCCCCCGGCGCCCTGAGTCGGGCTGCCCTGCCGGCCATGGTGGGGGAGCCCGCACCGGCCCTCTGAGTGAACCCCGGTGTCCAAGCAGGCGGCAGCAGCCCAGGGGCCCCAAGCCTTTTCCCCCTCCCTGTGTCCCTGGTCCCTGGTCCCCCAGGCACCCCGCTCCTCCCTCTCTCCTCCTGAGTCTTCTGTGTCTCTCTCCAGGGACCTCTGTCCCTGGAACTCGGTCTGGGTCTGGGTTGTGTGGCTCCGACTGAATCTCTGTTCTGTCACTGTGATTCCACCTTCTCCGTGGCTCTGTTTTTGTCTCTGGATTCTGAACCTCACATGCTCTCTGTCTCCCTTGCCCCCACACACATGCTTGTGTCTGTCTCCTGCCCACATCTGCCCCATTTCTCTCTGGGTCCCTGTGACTGGATTTCTGTTTTTTGCCGTTGTCCATCCCAAAAGCAAGAGAAACTTCCAGCCACTGCTGCCCATCTTCCTGCAGGGGATGTTCGGCCCCAGGTCAGTGCCCCGAGATTGTGGGGGCGCAGGTGGCCCAAAGCCCTCCCCCACTCACTACCTCTAACTAGGCTCTCCTGTCTTTACAGACCTTCCCGCATGGTTCCATCCATCACTCATGGCCCATCCTGGCTCTCCTGGCCTCCAGCAGAGAAAGGGAGCCAGCCCACCCCCAGGGGAGAGCTCCAGCACCACCCCACACATACACACACACTTGGCTGCCTCCCTGGAGCTCTGCCAGGCTGTTGGCATCCCAGCTCTGGGCATTGTCTGTGTGCTTCCCAGGCCCCAGCGGGAGGGGAGGGGAAGGAAAGGGGGAGGCAGCTGGGGAAGGGGAAAGAGGGAGGATGGGGAGGAGCCTCCATCTCTAATTTCATAATAAACAAACACTTTATTTTGTAAAGCTGGAGCCCTGTTCTGTTTCTGCACTCAGGCTTCTGTATGGAGCTTCACTGTGCCAAAGGGAGGAGGAGAGGCCTAAGCTTATTCCCTATGGCTCATTCCTTCTCCTTTGGGGGGCAGTCCACTTCAAGTCCCTCTAGATCAGCGGTCACCAAGCTTTCGGACCTCACGGACCACCGGCTGGCGACCGCTGCTCTAGACAGAGGAGGGTTTGCGTTGCCTCCATTCAGGAAGTAAGGAAATAATGACTTGTGCCCCACTCCTACCACCAACTCTTTGGGTTCCCTGTTGTTCTCAAACTGTCCTAGGAAATTAAGATGTGGGGACTGGCCAGAGGAAAGGATGGAAAGAAGTAGAGGGTGAGGGCTACATAGAAGAGAGGAGGAGAGATGAAAGAAGAGCCCTACCTGGTTTGGCTCAGTGGATAGTGTTGGCCTGTGGATCAAAGGGTCCAGGGTTCGATTCTAGCCAAGGGCACGTACTTCGGTTGCAGGCTCCTCCCCAGGCCCTGGTTGGGGCAGCCAGGCAATGTGTTTTTCTCACATCAATATTTCTCTCTGTCTTTCACTCTCTCTAAAAAAAAAAATCAATGGAAAAATATCCTTGGGTGAGGATTAAAAAAAAAAAAAAGGCTAAGAAGAAAAGAAGAGGGACTTCAGACAAAGAAAAAATGTTTGTGTGGGGGGGGGGGACAAGCCAATCTCTCTTGGGGCCTGTGGTGCCCATTGGGCAAAGGGTGGGCCAGTGTGAGATGGCACAGTCACACTGAATCCGGGCCTGCTGCCCCAACCTTTAACTCTCCCCAGTCCACTGTCTTATTCTCTTTTCTATATATACTAGAGGCCTGATGCACAAAATTTGTACAAGAGTAGGTCTTCCTTCCCCTGGCTGCCTCACAGCCCCACCCCCCACCCACTGGTTGTTCCGGAAGGTTGTCCGTCCAGTCTAATTAGCATATTAGCTCTTTATTATATAGGACTAGAGGCCTGATGCATGAAATTTGTGCAAGAGGAGGCCTTCCTTCTCCCAGCTGCTGGCACCGTCTTCCCTCTGGCACCTGGTACCTGGGCTTCCCTCACAGCCCCGGCTTCTTCCGAAAGGTCATCCGGAAGGACATCCAGTCTAATTAGCATATTATGCTTTTATTATTATAGATATGTTTTAATTTCTTTTAGAGAGGCAGGGAGAGGGGGAGAGAGATAGAAACACCAATGATGAGAGAGAATCATCGAGTGGCTGCCTCCTGCATGCCCCCCACTGGGGATCAAGCCTGCAACCCGGGCATGTGCCCTGACCAGGAATCAAACCGTGACCTCCTGGTTCATAGACCAACACTCAACCACTGAGCCAGCTGGCTGAGCCATTGTCTTATTCTTCATGGAGCACAAAGGAGGAGGGTGAGGACCAGAGAGGCAGAATCAAAGCCAACTGGGGTGGGGGGTGGGAGCTGAGTGGGAGCAGCCAGCATCTCCACTCCTTGAGCAGAGAAGGGGTCAGTGTGAACACCCAGGCCTCCCTCCTAACTCCAGGCGGGGCTCTTGTACACTCGAGTAGGTGGGTCAGGACAGGTCCTTGTGTCCCTCGCCTCCAGGTGTGGGGTGCTGGCAATCAGGAAAGCTGCTTCAAGGGTTACTGCCTTCTCTCACACCTCCCACACCTGGTTGGTTAGGGCCACCAGGTGGTGGGACAACAAGGACCCTTGCCCCAGGGCTGGAGTTGTCATTTCCTCTGCTGAAGGCTGGAACTGGACCCCTGACTGCCAAAGGCCTGTGCAAGAGCAGGCCGTCTGCCCCCTAAAGGCCTCAGGTGACGGTGAGGAAGCAGCACACCAAGCAGGGTGTCAGAGGAACAAGGTCTTCCAGCTCAGGGCAGGACAGGTAACATCCCTACCCCTTTGGTCTCTCTCTGATAGCTGCATCAGGCTTCAGGAATAAGTGGAGAAAAGGAGAACTGACCGTGGGCCACTCCTGGGTAGTAAGGGGTGTGTTGACGTGAATGCATACATTTGCCTGCTCTTCCAACCCTCCCACACCCTCCTCTGGTCTGGTCCTCCCCAACTCATTAAACTTAGGGGGGACAGGGCATGGGAAACAGGCTGGTCAGCAAGACCCTTGGGCTTATCTCTGGTCTCAAATACCTTATCTTCTGGAAGGACAGAACCTGTCAAAGGAGTTAAGAAGGGCAGGACCATGAAAGAAAAAGAAAAGGGGAGAGGCAATGGGTAAAGGAGACGCAGGAAGGAGGACACCCCTCCTGTGCTGCCCTCTTTGTCTGGGTTCCATCCTCCCTCCCAGTCTGTGGGAAGTGGAGGGGCACAGAACATCCCAGGAGACAGCTATGTGCAGTTCCCAGAGAGCCTTTTGCTGGGCTCAGGTGGCAATCCAGGCTCCAGACCACCACTCCCTCCCTCTACTTCTCACTCCCAGGCCTCAGGATAGGGGGGGGAGGGTTCAGAAGGGTGGAATGAGCCCTGACCCCACCTCCTCTTTACTCTGGAGCAGTGGGTCGCCAACCCGTGGTCCTCGGACCACTGGAGGTCCGTGAGGTCCAAAAGGTTGGTGACCACTGCTCTGGAGCATTTTCCCAAAAGAAGTGACAAGGCCTGGCTTTCTCCCCAATAAGGTCCTGCTCTCCTTATCCAAGTGTTGCTCCTGCTTTTCCAGTCTGTCTCCTGTCTCTGCACTAAGGAACACACATGCATCACCCGTCACACTCATGTGCACACACCTATCCTGGATCACTCATACCAGGACACAGGACCCACACACATCTCTGCACATGGAGAGGCACTCTCTTATGCCTGATTCCATTAAACACTTGAATCCTAGGCAAAGCTGCCCTTCCTCCTAAGCTCCCCCAGGACTAGGCTAGCCAGGGACCCTGACCTCCACTTATTCTTTCCAGAGCCCCGCCTTCCCTCCCCTGAGGCTGAGGAGCAGGCGAGGGGTGAAGAAAGGCTGCTGAACAGGCCACTGGCCAGATTCTGGACCCTGGCTCGAAGGCTAGTCCTCCTGTACTGGGCACCTTTTTTTAAAAATCCTTACTCCAATATATTTTTTCCATTGATTTTCAGAGAGAGTGGAAGGCAGGGAGGAGGAGAAGAGAGAAACATCGAAATGAGAGAGACACATTGATTGATTGCCTCCTGCACGCCCGGACCAGGGCCAGGGATCAAGGTACATGCCCTTGATTGGGAATCAAATCCATGACCCTTTGGTCCATGGGCTGCCACTCTAACTACTGAGAAAAACCAGCTAGGGCCTGGACACCTTTCTCTTTTCTTTTAAATATATTTTTATTAATTTCAGAGAGGAAGGGAGAGGGAGAGAGAGATAGAAACATCACTGATGAGAAAGAATAATTTATTGGCTGCTTCCTATACGCACCCCCCACCCACCCCCTCCCGCAACTGGGGATCGAGTCTGCAACCTGGGCATGTGCCCTGACTGGGAATCGAACCATGACCTCCTGGTTCATAGATCGATGCTCAACCACTGAGCCACACCGGCCAGGCCTGGGCACCTTTCTACAGTCGCTTTTCCCTATCACAATTTCGTCCCCTTTGTCCCCACTGCTTTCCTTCTTAGGGCTCCCTGACCTTTCCTCCCTCATCTCCCCCTCCCCCCCCCCCAAGGCCTGAGCCTGGAGGCCTCCCCTGTCTGGCCAGCTCCTGCCTGGATGACCCCTTAGCCTGAGGTGCAGGGTTGGAACTCAAGGAAGGGCTAGGGGCTGGGAGGCATGTCAGGAGGGGGAAGTGGCTGTTCTCTGTGGAACGGAGGCTGCAGGAGTGGGATAGAGAAAGACGGTTCAGCAGCCTTCCTTCAGGTCCCATCTCTTGGCTGACCGTGCTTTCTCTGGGAACGGGAGGGGCTGGGGGGTGTCCCTCCGGGAGCTGTCAGCCTGCAGCTCCAAGTCAGGGCTTACAAGGGAGCTGGAGGGGGCCAGGAGGGGCAGGAGAAGCCGAGCTAACCTGATAGTTCCCACGGGCACAGCCATCTCCCTCTTTCCTGCGAGCCCCAGAGGCCGCTACAGGAAGGGGAGGCTGGAAAGAAGGCAGAGGGAAGAAGGAGGAGGAGAAGTCTGGCAGCAGCAACAGCAGACCCGAAAGAGCAGCGCACAGGTGAGCTGTGGAGCCGGTTCCAGGCCCTGGCAGGTAGGGCACATGAGGCGCAGCGGGAGCAGCCTCCCTGGGCCACCCCTCCCTCCAGGCCCTCAGGATCCTCTGGGTTCAGTCACCCCTGGCCACTGG